CCTGTTGCAAAGAGGCTATCCATGCTGCCAGAAGCCATTTTGCAAAGGTGTTGCTTGGTTTGCTCGATCTGCTGTTCATCGGCGTATAGAAGCGATGCGAGAGCTTGCAAAGTTGCACTAAAGAGCAGGATTTGGTCAGCACTTGATGCTTGCATCTCACGCTATCCCAGATCTAACATATCCAACATGTCAGGACTAAGACGGTGTGACTCTTGCTGTCGGCAGGGACTCAATAAGTGCACAGCCATGCGTGGACGCCAGAACGATGTGGACAAAACAATTTGTGTGGTTGATGCTGAGAGTGTTAGCGACATAGATGGAGGGCGCACCGTCGCAGATTCTCGTCCACTCAATGTTGGCCGCATTCTGCAGGCCATTCAGAAGTTACAAGCCGAGGGTCTCAAAATCATTTTGGTCAGCCGGCAGGACATGTCGACACTGATGCATGACTCATCTGTCGATGCATCAGGCTTTCTGTACATCAAGTCCTTGAACGGCCCAGCTATTGACACGATCCGTACTGCTGCAGACTACCGATGCTTTTTCGTAACTTCTGCCGATGCTGCCGCTTTCGAATCTGACTGGCGCCTGCCACAGAGACACCAGATGTGGTTATATCAGAACCACAGCATGCAGGTGAGATTTGAATTTGAGCCGTACTCTCGGGAATTCGTGCCAATTTTTTCAGCAAGCTCGCCATCCCAGGCGAGCCCCGAAAAGAGTGAAGAGTGCTATCAGCAGACCGAGTTGCTCGGGCCAGAGCATGGCGTGCTGGAGACTCTGCCGAGCGGGTGGATTTCGGATTCTTTGGAACCATTGATGGCCGTTCTTCCTTGCAGAGAAGACCTTGCCTCGCAGCCGGTTCTTGCTATGCAGGCACAGGACGAGAAAGATCCCCTTGTTCAGCACGCCGTCAGTTTGTCTCAGACTCACATATACAGTGGGACCGAAGAGTCCGATCTGCAAGATTGGAGAAAGGTAAAAGGACCTTGGTCTCACGAACACATCGTCGTGCGCGTTGCTGGAACCCGGAACCCGCTTTGGGCAGTGGGAGCCGGCAGCAGGAAGCTGGCCAGAAAGCGAGCAGCACATTTGGCTTTGGTAGTTGCGTACCATGCATCGAAAACAGCTACCGCAGCCTGGAATGTTGGGCCAAAGGACTGCCAAGATCTCAACTGCATGGTTGCCCGAGCCCGCAGGTTGATGGAGCATGCACGTTCCCTTGGGGTTTTCCCGAGCATTCAGGAAGATAGCTTTCTTGCGCAACAGACCTCGAACCAGTCCAGTTCACTGGCTGAGATCACGGCCGACGAGTTTGCCGGCAAAGCCACGCGCTGGCTCGCAGACCCTGGTGTCCAGGAGGCCGCGCGAGTTAGCCTGGAGGAGATGGATGGGAAGCTGGCGGGCCGGAAGGTGGTCGCCACCGAAGCCTACTTTACTGAAGCGGGTAGCGGGTATTTGAATCTCCAGACAGGGGATCAGGTGGAAGTTCTGTATGACAGGATCGAGGGACCAAACCCTGAGGACAGGCACAAGGGCTACGTTTTCGGTCTGCTTGTCACCACTCCTGGTGTGTTACCGGGTTGGTTCCCGACCGATGTAGTCCGGTTCGAATGATGCTCTGCTGCTGGAGAGGCCATTTACAATACTCTGCCGCATGCTTTGGATCCAAAGTAGCGTCGTGTACCTAGCCGAGACCAAAACATGAGGACCATGTCGAACGGATAAAGGTTAAAATCGATTTTGCGAGTTGAAGTCTGCAACCCGTAGATCCCCGGTACTATCTTCTGTTGACAGGAGCTGTGGTCCCCGACAACAGTCATGTTTCTGGCTTCAAGCTACTTCTAGCCGAACAACAGAACTACTGTGGAACTAATGTCACAATCGTAGATTCCAGCGCCGCGGTAGTCATCAAAAAGGTTCTGAACTTTTGCATGGGTGCTCTTATACGGGAATGCGACCATATCCCCACAACTTGACAGGTTGCTACCCTCAGTCCTCCCACTCGAGCCATTGGCCCTCAGCGGTTGGCTCAGGAGTAGAGTAGATCTTCAGAGCTGGATAAGCGGATGATCTGTGTCCAGCATTTGCTGTGCCTCGTCGTTTACCACCGCCTGGATATAAGCCCACGCTGCCAGGTTGGTACTGGCTCGCGTGTGCTTTCTTCGGATGTAACCTGAGACGTGTGTAACCTACCTTGCTGCCTTGTCTCGAGACAGGTACCAGATAGGCCTCGCCCTCCGTGGCAACTGCTATTCTTCTGCCTGCTGGGAGCAATCATCAACACATTCAATTCGCACCTGCTTCCGTAGATGCAGGCGGTCATGGAAATTTCTCGGCCCATCTATGTCCACAACATCTGTTGGTTCACCTTGTTTGCAGAAGCGCTTTTCATCTGCAGACTGGCTCCGCTCCTGGTTGGAGTGGTCTCCGAAACTTTTGCGTTGATCTCAGGATCTAACTGGAGAGTCGGGGTTTGAGCAGATGCAGTACAAATCATGGTCGGAACCGCTCTCCACGTTTCGTTGGTGCTTGCAGACTGGCAACTTTGAAAGCCTTGGGTGGTGGTGGTTGCCAGCTTGAGACAGGAGCTGCAGAAAGGCTCATCACGCCTGGGCTTGTGGCGTGGCTTGTGCTCTGCTTTCGTCGCATCGAGACAAGGCGTGATTTGGTCTGCAACTTTGGGAGGACGGGCTCTCACTGGAACGGGCTCTGTCCAAAGAGTTTGGCAAGCAACACAGCTTCCGCTGTCGATTAGTGACGGTGCGTGTTCTTGAGGCCAGCGCAGCCCCCTATCGTTGTAATTCTTGTGAGAGCCGCAAGCGCCATGCTCATTGACGTTCCCGAACATTCCTCAGCTCAAGACTCCTGAAGTTCATGAAGCACGTTGGCATGCGTCCACGTCTTGAGTTGAGTCTTTGGAGCCTGAGCCCATCCCTGGACGCTTAAACCTACACCCCGCAATCCTACAACCTAGACCCCGCAGCTTAAATCTCTCAAAAATTCAATTGCAAACACAGCAAGCCTCAAGCCTGCGTTTCTTTTCTCCTAAAGACTCTGAAGCATGGCTAGACATGCAACCCTCAGCTCGTTGACATAGTTGTTGGGGGTGCAGTGGGATGTTCATCTTGCAGGCTTCGGCAGTCTTCGAACTCAAATAATCATTGCGCCCGAGAGGCAGAGGCATACACACAAAAGGACAGTTTCTGGCGTAGTTTCTGGAAGCCCCCACAAGCTGAAAGCGGCAAAGCCGCACCCTCCCTTTCCCTTCGACGCCCGAGTTTTCTGCAAAGGAGGGGGCTTGGGTGCCGAGAGCAACCCTCTTTGAGGGTGCGCCAAGGCAAGGCCCATGGTTGCTTTCGTTTGATGCTTCCTCTGCTCAATGCCTGAGCAGAGCCCATCCAGGGCAGGCTTTTACTCTTGACTGCCACCCAGTGCCCTGAAGCCCTGAAGCTGCCGGGTAAGAGGCTAGTGCCAAGAAGGCCTTCACCCTATGCTAGCTTGTCGGCATTGATCCCGGCCACGCGAGAGGGAAATCAATGCTAGCTGCTAGCTGCCAGAGAAGTCGATAGCTAGCGCAAGCCGCGTCGGAAACTTGACTGAAGCTCGCTGCTCCAGGTATCCAAGGTGCTCTGCAATTGGGATGCCAAACTTCCAAATCCCACCCAAATAAGGATTCCTTCCTAGGGTCTGCAGCATGAAGCTTGACGAAGCGGCGATGCAAACACCAGCCGGTGGATCCTGCGGATTCAGAAAGCAATGCTAGAGCTTGCGCACTGGTCCTGCCCGAGACCCTACATCCTAGAACTTGAGGGAACGACCCTACAGCGCAAACCATGTGGAAGTTAGAAGGTAGCCCGTGGCTGAAGGCTTGAAGTAGGTTGCGACCTCGTGAAGTTAGGCGTCGGGTTTAGGGTTCAGTGTGGTCCGAGACAATCGTCGTGAGAAGCGGTCTGGAATTTCATCGATTCCTGACGACCAGCGTGGTGAAGGCAGCGGTCTGCCGTTGATGCCGCAGGTTGGCGGCCAGGCCAATCTTGACAGTCTTGACATGGAACTTCAAACGCCCGGCATCAGGAAGAGGATCGCCAAGGCCAGGATGAGCTGCCATCGCTGGGCAGACGGCCCCCAGGCCCAGTGGCAAACCGCATGCCAAAGCCTCCGCATGCGCTCTTTGCCTCGTTCTGGTTGGGCGGGCGCATCGACTGGACTGGGGAGGGCGGGGCCTGGAGAGCTGTTCGCGGTGCGCAAAGCCGTGGCAGCCGTGGTTTATCTCCTCAGGCCCAGCCCTCATTGCCCAGTTCTACTGCAGCGCAGCCACCGCCTCGAAAAGATCTCACGATTTTTCAATGTCTCATCTGCTTCGGCAGGTCTGCATCGCAACTTGGGATGAGGTGCAGTTGATTGAGCTTGTGTCCACGAGCGTTAGCCTCCCTGCTGCAGCATGCTGCAGCTGTTTCGCACTGCACGCCACAGAACCTCGCAGTCGGCTGTCCCAACCACGCTTGGCCTACCTTCAACACCCCCGCAGTCCGTCAGACGTTTCTTCGCTCTTTGCCTGCAGGTTGCAGACGCCCACCGCTGTAACAAGAGCTGATGACGCCCAAAGTGTTGAGAGGAAGCAATCTCCTTGGGCGGGTCTGTGCGGTTGAAGAATGATTCGGCTCTCCTCGGGTGCAGTTCGCCCTTGGAACTGCCACGACTTTCGTGGTGAGCTGCTGCTTCTCAACTGCACACAGCACTGGACAGGTGAGGAGTACCCGTACCCAGGAGATGTTTCTGAAATGCCTGCAGGCTTTTCTAGTTCATTCTGGTCAAGAGACTTGAGGACACGATGTGAATTCGGCGGGTGAATACGAGACCGGAAATGACAGAACCGGCCATGTTACCAAGGGCGAGTATGCTGTGCTTGCATTGCTTTCAATGTGCTACGCATCTGCTGAACTCTTAGCCGCTTCGAGCACACGGTCACACAGACATTGCAGACAACGTCCTCCAAACACAGCGCGAGTGGCCACCATAGCCTCGGAGTTCGCAGCGAGCATCTAAGCTGCGGGAAATGTTGACCTTGAACACTGAATGAAGTACTGAGGGCCCCTTCATCTACCCTCAACACGATATGAGGACGATGAGGCATCCCGAAACCCTAAACGCCAGACGTTCCAGGGTTTGGTGTTTCTGAACAACGGCAGAAGAGGCAATGCTGGCCGTCATCAATTCCGGTTTCAGAAGGGTTTCAACAGCTTCCCTGTCGGATTGGTGCCTAGTGTTATGCGGGTTCGCTGTTCGCCCAAGCTTGTCAGTCGACATCAGGGCTTGAGAGCGTGGGGTGACCTCCAAGTGGGAGCTTCTCAGAACAACCCCTACGAAGTCCCGAAGGCTCGTGACATCCTTAAATATCCCTCAGGTCCCCGAGGGCTCCCTGTGAGTGGCAGACAGAGCGCCTTGCTCCTGCAGAGCAAGGCTACGACCTTCCGAAGCTCTGCCAGTCTGCCAGGAACACATCCTTGACCTGCCCATTTAGGACAACCTACGTCTTTTACCCTGCTTGCGAGCTTGTTTATGAGGCTGGGGTAATGTGATGTTGCCTGCGACACGCCGGGGCAACTGCAAGTTGCGATTCGGCATAGCCTTGGTCGCTCAATCACGTTGTTGAACCGCAGGTTCAGGCCAAAGACGGTTTCTGCTGCTCTGGTGTAGGGTGCCTCTTTGACTCTAGAGCCTGGCAGGGCAAGCGACAGAACGTTGTGGGCTCAAGTACTGCATTTGTTAAGCACAGCTCACAATTAGCAGAAGGGGTCGTCTTGGTGCATTGGTCGTATCAGCATCATCTATCGTCCACGCCGGTCCGGCTGGCAGAGGATGTTCCGTTGTGCCCTTCAAGAGGGTTCGCACGTCGAGTGCCCAGCTAGCTGCCTTGCGCGAATGGCCACAAACTCCAGCTCGGCAGCTGGAGCTTCCGTGATGTGCAGCATGCACAAGGCACAAGGCCGCAGCATGCCGCAGCGCTAGGATCCTAACGCTGGGACTCGGATCACTCGGTCAGTGCCTCCCATGTGCCGATTCTCAGCTCTTGGAGCCTGCAGAGGCTGTGACGCCAGGAACGCCAGCTCAGCCCAATTCAGCCTTTTGCTACGGAGACCCGGTGCTAGAGGAATTTAGGAGACATGGCACGTGAGGCCCCTCGACTCTCCCCTCTGGCAGGGTGGATGGAGGTGAAAGGCTGAAAGCTGGGCTGGAAGCTGCCGGCTTCATTGTGGGTGGAGCACATGTCCTGTCTGGCTTGGTCTGCAGCACGCTTTCACTGATCTCTGGATCGGCAGCTCACGTGTGTCACCCTGTTCTGCACCAGAGTCGAAGCCGATTCCCAAGCTCTTGTTGATGCAAGCTGTCCGGCCAAATTCGGCCCAACAAGTGAACTTATGTGGTGTTGTTCTGCAGATATCGGATCTCGGACGAATCAGCTGTTATCCGAACTGCTGCTCAGATTCTGTTGAGGTGTCTTGATGCCTTCCTGGGAAACAGCTATTGTCTCAGCTTGTTTGGGCTTCGGGCTTTCTCGCAGGACATGTTCGCAGCCCATTGCTGCCATTCGGTGGCAGCAGACAAGTTGCCGAAGTCTGGTAGCACCGTGTGGCTTGAGCTGCACGACGGAATGGGCTCGCACAGGGGCTAAGGCTTGTTCAAGTCGCCCCTTAATTCTGTCATGAAAGAATTTCAGCAGCACCTCTACCACACCAGGGCCGGTGGACAACATGCAAGCCTTGGGGGAGAACTCCGAATTCAAGTCAACAGCCCAACTTCCGGTTTTGTTGAGCAGCCTTGGAATTGATCGGGGTTGTGTAATTCTCCAAGTTATTTGCGGGGGTCTGCAAGAACGCCCCTTAGGCAGCCACGGGTTGAGTACTTGAGCTGCTCAGGCATTTGCAGCTGCTCTTTGATCTGTCTAAGACTACGTAATGCTGCGCCCCTTCATCCTCCAAAGCCTGAATCCTAAGAATCCCAAACCCTGAAGTTCCTGTGCATTCGTACTCGGACTTCCCATCTTTTGCAGTGATGTCACCATCTTGGGTTCTCAGCTCTTCTGTACTTCTCTGCCTAAAGGCTTCTCTTGGCCGACAGTCCGTGGTGTTTCTACCTGAGCCCCTCAGCTTCAAACGTTGTCCGACGAGACCATAGCAGATTCCTGGGGCTGTTTCGCGGGTAGCCTCTTGCAGCA